TTGCCCTGTGGAAGCTGGCTGCCACGCATAGCAACTGTTAAAAACCATGAAACTGTTAGTTCTTAGTGGACCTGCCTTTGCAGTGCTGTTAGACATGTGGCCAGGGCCCCCTCAAATGGCATTTAACTTTGACTGCAGGTGATTTTTGAGAGAACTTGTAACTTGGTTTTCCCATCTGTTGGCTGAGCAGAAAGTTTTAAATATATATCAGTTCTTTCAAAACCCTTAATTGTGGGTTAGCATTACAGGGAATAGAATCCGATTTGAGAGAGCATGGCTAGATTTGATTTGGTGACAGTGATGAAAGCACACAACAGTAAGAGCAGGTTGTATGCCTTGCAGTTTTATGCTAAGGGACAGATTGGTGAAAACTTGCTGGTTCCCTTCCTCTAGCATATACCTAGTTGCTTTGCTGCTAAACATAGTAAGATTGAGGTCACAGTGTTCAATGGCCGTTTCACATTCCTGTGGGTGAGAGTTGAAACCAAGTTGCACTTAAGTTTATTGTCATAAAAAAGCTGCTGTTCCTTTCAGAGAAATGATCTTGTCCATTTTGCTGTAGCACTTAAGAACAAAGTGGTTCAAATCTTAAACAGGCTCTGAGATTAATTTCTGCTGTTTGATTCGTTGACCCATGTGTTTCTTGCCATTGCTCACTAGGTAAGGCTTGAGAGCTGGTATTGCTTCCCTATTCCTGGGAGTGCGTTACGTGCTAAGTTGTGAAGAAGGAGTAACTCTTGCTTCAGTATGCCATGGTAACATCAGATAATTGCAAGGCTTAAAATTCAGTGAAGAAGAAAGAGAAGTGGTTAAATAATAGTATTTTTTTTTTCCCTTCTCTGCTCATTTTTTTTCTATTTTCTTCACTGTTTGTTATTCTAAGAAGCCTTTTAATGGCAAATTATTTGAGTTGAGATACTGTGCACAGCTCGCTGACTTTGAGGCACGCATCTTGAAAATTTGAGGCTCTCAGCTGCATTAGGATTTTAATTTAAATAGTAAATTTGACTATTCCTGGCCCATCATTTGATTCTAGCCTCTCATCCCTGGGTACTGTTAGGTCAGATATTGTGGTCTTTGGTTTGATGCCTGTATCTTTGTCCAGGTGCTCCATACAATATTTTAGTATAATGGTACCATACATGGTTGCAATGTATGTGCATATAGTGATTACTTGAAAGGGCTGTGACCCTATTTTTTGACTCTCATAAGGTCAGAAAAACCCTGTTGTTCTCTTGCATTTGATATAGTGGTTTAATCCAGTAATTTGTGTTACCATTGCTGGTATGGCTTCAGGTTTGGCTCACAGGTTTGCAAATAGCGATATGCAGTCTTTTGTCACTCATCCATACAAAAGTGTATGTGGAAGTGTGGAACATACATACAGGTACTCCTCACTTAACGTTATCCAGGTTAATGTTGTTTGGTTATTACATTGCTGATCTATTAGAGAACATACTTGTTTAAAGTTGCACAATGTTCAGTTATAATGTTGTCTGGCCGCCTCCTGCTAGTAGGTAACTACTGTGACATAATTGGATTTGCTTAACATCGTTTCACTTAAAGGTGCATTTTTTAAGAACATAACAGCAATGTTAAGCAAAGAGAAGCTATACAGAAGTATGTGGAAGTGTATGTGCAACTTGATTTTGAGAACTTTAGCCATGGAGAAAAAAGGTGCTGTTGTAACAGGGCAGAGTAACAAATGTTGTAAACATTTCACAGTGATCCAGACACTAAAGAATGGTTGGAGGTGAACATGCCCTTTCTGTTCTTCATCTTGCTGAGGAACTGCACATTAGGTACTACTACATTGTGCAATTGATTGTAGTTGAAGCTTCTCACTAGTGCTTTATTTCATCCAGGACTGATGGTATGGTAGTGCCCTGCAAGTATTTCACCTGAATTTTCAATGCTGCTTTTCAGAGGTGGCATGAAGCCATCTTTTTTAGGCTGGCTCTGGCTATCCAAAAGATAGAAGAGGTTCTGTGACCCTCCTTTAAATTGCAGGTGCACATGCATGCACAAACTGGATGTATGTATAAATATATGCACACAGCATATTTACTTGAATATAACACAACCCTGAATATAAGATGACCCCCTTCCTCCCAATAATTAGAGCCTACTTACGGAAAACTTATACATTTGTTATCATTTCCCAGGTGTGGAACCTAAGTATTGGAGGTTTGCCTTAAATTTGTCCCCTTCCCACTGCTGTAGAAGGGAAAGTAAATCTGGAGGGTCAGGTAGCCCTCTTGCCCTCTGCCTCCTCGACTTCCTCCCTTGCCCCCCCCCC